ATAGAGTTAGAAGGCTCTTATAGAGATCTTCTACTCAGCCCTCTTGTTCATTGCAGGGATCTGCTAGAATAGGGGTCCCCAACCCCCATCTGTGGACTGGCACCCGGCCACAGTCTGCCTGCAACCAGGCCGCACAAGTAAGCAAAGCCCCATCTGCAGGATGCAGGCAGCACACAAAACCACATACACCCCGGTCCACGGAAAAACCTTTCTCTTCGGAACCGGTTCCTGGTGCCCAAAAGATTGGGGGCCGCTGTGCTAGAGTATTGCTGACAGATGACCATGCAGCCTTTCTTGAAGATCATTAAGGAAGGAGAACTCATCACTTCATGTGGCAACTGTTGCCACTGCTTACGATTGGGATGGCTGCTTTAATGTGGCTGAGCAAGTTAAGATGGCGGCTGATTATGGCCGCCCTCTGGACTTTTGATCACCTCTTTTCTTCAGAGTATCATCCGCTCAGTTATTTGAAGACTGATATATCACTCCGCTTTTCTTAGGCTAAACGTATGCAAATCCTTTAACTGTTCATCATAAGGCTTGATCAAGCTCCTTCATCGTGTTGGTGGCTGTGTTCTGAATTTGCCACTGTCTTTGTCACATTTTTATCAGTCATTTCAAAGACGGGCTAGGGGACACTTTCCAGTTGGAATGTCCATGGAGATTTTATGAAATTTATGGAGATTCCAAGTTTGAAGATGGCACAACTGTGGTGCCTGGAATGAGACCCAGTAGTCCAGATCAGGATCGAGCAGGGTGGAAAAATGACTTCCGATGATGCATCATAAGATAGCATCAAGCCTGGGGAATTCTGGGAGTTGAAGTCCACACATCTTAAAATGGCCAAGGCTGAGAAACGCTGCTCTAGCATGATGTCTTTCTGATAAATCTATCTAGCTTCTGTTAATCATAGCCTGCTTATTCAAGGGCACATAAACATGTTTGACCGTTTGAAGACTTTGCCCTGAATAGACCTCAAGTTGACTGAACTGTAGTTTCCCAAGTCTCCTTCTTCCTTTTCTAAAAATGGGGAAGGCATTTGCCTGCCCCTTCCCCAATTGTCTGAGATCTTACCAGTTTTCCAGTTCCCAAAGATGATCAAGAATGCTTTTGAAATCACCCCTGCTACTTCCTTTAGTATCCGGTGATGTAATCCATCTGGTCCCCAGAAGTTGAATTTATTTATCTTAGCTAACTTATCTCTAAACTTCTCCTAATTTATTCTGAGTAGTCCCACCCCTCACCCTACCTCCCAGCAGCAATATAATCATAACCAGCCTGAGCTTCCCTTTCGTTTCGAAGAGGAAACAGATGCGAAATAAGAGTTAAGTTCTGTCTTCTCACCATCATTCTGAACACCCTTTTTGGTTTTCCTTTTATTTCAAGCATACTTAGGAACCCCTTCTGGTTGTTTTGGGTATCTCTTGCAAGTTTCACTTCTTTCTCTCTTTCTTTCTCTCTTTCTTTCTTTCTTTCTTTCTTTCTTTCTTTCTTTCTTTCTTTCTTTCTTTCTTATTTATTTTATTAACTTATAATATAAAATACAAAAGCAAACAGTAGGGAACAAAGATAAGGGGAAGGGAAAAAGAGAAGTGTGGAAAAGAAAGGAAAAGGAAAAAAAAAGGCATTGACTTCTGACTGCCTCTGTTGCAGTGAAATAATAAGGCCTTAGCATTAAACCTCAACTTTTTACATTTCTATGGTAATATGAACTAGCCATTTCTAGATCAACAAATCAATCCAATCAGTAAAACCCAAATCATTTTTTTTCCAACTCAAGCACAAAAGCACTTGTATTCTTTTCCTTTATCAAAACAGTCAATTTAGCCATCTCTGCAAACTCTATCAACTTTTGTAGCCACTCGTCCATGGTGGAAATCATCAAAACATTCTTCCATTTTTATGCATAGAGAGCTGGCTCAGGAATTCTGGGAGTTGAAGTCCACGAGTCATAAAAGAGCCAAGGTTGACTACCCCTGCGTAGCGTAGTCTTGCTGCCGTCAACATATATAAAATCAGAGTTCCAATTTTTCCCCCCTTTTTCCATTAGACCCAGAATACAATTTTCTCGTTTTATCTTTATGTTCACTTTAAGAATTTCCTGCATTAGAATATGAATCCTACTCCATTATTATTTTTCTTTATCAGATATCCAGCAGAAATGATAAAAAAACTCCCTTCTTTACATTTACATTTCCAACATTCATTTGAGATACCTTTATACATTCTAAACAACTTATCTGGTCTTAAATGCCAGTGATACATCATCTTATAAAATTCTTTTAAATTATAATTTAGTGCTGAATCATGCAATGTTTTACATGTTCACCTTCCAAATTCAATTTCAATAACATTTTGGAAAACTTAGCCATAATATGTCATTTCACTACCACATAGTGAAATTTCCAATTCATTTTTAACAAAATCAAGTCTGTGATTCTTTTTATCTACTTTGAATCTTTCTTTCATTTGTAAGTAACTAAAGCAATGGCAGACTTGACCTTCTAATTCTAACCCTTGCTTAGATTGTGCTGCAGCTGCCAAAAAAGCCAGCACAGTGCTGGGCTGCATTAACAGAGGGATAGAATCAAGATCAGGTGAAGTATTAATACCACTTTAAATGCCTTGGTAAGGCCACACTTAGAATACTGCATCCAGTTTTGGTCACCACGATGTAAAAAAGATGTTGAGACTCTAGAAAGAGTACAGAGAAGAGCAACAAAGATGATTAGGGGACTGGAGGCTAAAACATAACAAGGAACGGTTGCTGGAATTGGGTATGTCTAGTTCAGGGGTAGGCAACCTTGGCTCTTTTATGACTCGTGGACTCCACGAGTCATAAAAGAGCCAAGGTTGCCTACCCCTGGTCCAGTTTAATGAAGAGAAGGACGAGGGGAGGACATGATAGCAGTGTTCCAATATCTCAGGGGCTGCCACAAAGAAGAGGGAATCAAGCTATTCTCCAAAGCAATGGATGGGAACTACCCAAAGAGAGAAGCAGCCTAGAACTAAGGAGAAACTTCCTGACAGTTAGAACAATTAACCAGTGGAACAACCTGCCTCCAGAAGCGGTGATGCTCCAACACTGGAAGTTTTTAAAAAGAGATTGGACAGCCATTTGTCCGAAATGGTATAGGGTTTCCTGCCTGAACAGGGGTTTGGACTTGATGACCTCCAAGGTCCCTTCCAACTTTTTTATTATTATTATTATTATTATTATTATTATTATTATTATTATTATTATTATTATTATTATTATATTTGAGGGTACGGTCACCAAAATTAAGAGAGATTATTTTACCTCACATCTACCAGTCCGGCTTCACTGCCATTTCTTTTCTAAAAAAAAAAAAAATTTCATGGGGGGGGGACAACCAAAGAGGCAACTTCGTAAAAAAAAACAAACAACCTTTGTATTATATTTATTCCAAACTCTTTATATGGCACCTCACTTCCTTCTGAGCTTCAGCCTTTGCTGATAGGATTCCTTCAATTTCTAGATTCTATCATGTATTTTTCTTCGGCTGGTTCATTTTTCCCCCTTGTGTACAGTGCAAAACACCATCATTTCTTCTGGGTCTGTTCCTTCTGTTTGTAGCCTTCCTCTACACCAGGGGTCTGCAACCTTGACAACTTTAAGACTTGTGGATTTCAGATCCCAGAAATCCTCAGCCAGCATAGCTGGCTGAGGAATTCCAGGAGCTGAAATCCACAAGTCTTAAAGTTGTCAAGGTTGCCAACCCCTGCTCTATACCAATCATGAACATCATCCTTTCAGTTTCCGTGAAATAACTTATGACCACAATTAGGACTGGAACTGCTGTCGCAAATTGAAGACATCACTAAGTGAGTTGCACCCAATTTTATGACCTATGTTGCTGCAGTTGTTAAGCAAATCTGCGTTCCCCCCCCTCGACTGTGCTTGCCAGAAGCTCCCTGGAAAGGTCACAAATGGTGATTGTACGATTCCAGGGCTCTGCAACTGTTGTAAACGCATGGCGGTTGCCAAGTGTCTGCATTTTGTTCATGTGGCGGTGGGGACACTGTGAAGTGTGAGGACCGACTGTCACTTTTTTCCCAGCAGTTTCGTAACCTTGAATGGTCCTTAAATAAGTGTAAGTCGAGAACTGCCTGCTGTGCCTTGAAAAAAATGTAGTTAAATCCAGTAAACATGTACTCTATCTTCTCTGGTCTTAATGCTTTTTTCCTTGATTTTAGAAGAGACAGAGCCCAGTTCTATGGCGTGTTGTTTGGAACAGTGTTTGTGGCAATGAAGAGACTTTGTCTTTTTTTTTTTTCTCTTATGCTCAGATATTCAGGAAATAATCAGCTGGCCCACCTCGTTCAAGACAGGTTTTCTCCAGCTGCTTTTCTCTGCAGTGTTGCCCCTCCATTCCTCGTAACTGTTAACTAGTGTATTTGATTTACATTCAATAGTCCCGATTCCACTTTCAAAAATATTGAAAATATTTCCCATTTTTTTGTGTCTGGAATTGGCAGAGACTGACCCGGAGTGTTTTTGACTTGAAAATCAGGTATTCTGTGACTGATTTACATCTCTTCCTCTCAAAGTTCAGATTATCACCATTTAGGTTTTGTTTTAGGAATTCTACTTTGAAAGACAAGGTCAGCACGGAATGACACTCATGTAGGCAGACATAGGAAAGTCTCCCATTTCCTGCCTGAGCAGGGGCATGGACTAGATGACCTCCAAGGTCCCTTCCAACATTATTATTATATTATTAATCATCACAGTCAGCCAGATGTTCAGACTGGATTTGGCATTTTGTCTACCTATCGAGTGCTTACCAAGGACTTGGAATAGGCAGATGTGGATGTTTGATGGTATTACAGATATTGTCGCAGGATGGAAGCAGTTCCTAGTAAGGCTGCCTTTTGTAATTGACTAATGGCAAATTTGTCAATGCCAATGGTGTTCAAGTGGTGCTCCAGATTGCACCCAAGGCGCCTATTACTATTGGTACTACCCTTGCTTGCCTTTGCCACAGTCTTTCTATTTCTGTTTGTAAGTCTTTGTATTTTATCTTCTTCAGTTCTTTCTCGTCTATTATGGCAGTACCTGTGCGATGATCCGTAATAATAATAATATTTGAACACAATATCTGCAATTAACCATGAAACTCTCTTCTTTTGGTCTACGACACCCCGAACCATATATTTACCACAGAGATTAGATCTGAATGACACACTAGGCTAAAATGTCGTGGTCAAACCTATGATATCAAGTGTGGTGGGAATAGAACTATAATTAAATGCTGGCCCGCAAAAGGTGACCGCTTCTTATGTCTGATCCATACTAAAATACCCGAAGATGCAGGGTTAAATAAAATGGTTATCTTTTAAATACAGCAATCATCTGCAAGTAAAGTAGATCTCCTTTATATGTCAGTCCCCCTCATCAAAGGCACTGCTTGGCTTGGAGAGAAAGCAGGCAGCTGTTGCTGCTGTCAATTGGTCTTGTGCTGGAGCAGGTCTGGCTGATTCTCTCCCTGGCTCCCGCTGCCTTCTCTCAGCTGATGACTTTGACAAAGCCCTTGCTTGCTGCCTCCTCCACTCCCTCTGGGTCGGAGCTCCAGAGGAGTTGCCTTTGTCTGTCCTCCACTTTTCCCGGGCAGTCCAGACGGAGACCGGCTTCTCCATGGCCGACTCTCTTCTCAATCATTCTTGGCCATCCTTCTCCAGGAGGTGGATGAAGAGATGGTCGTTCAAGCGAGGTAACGTGGCAAGGGCCCATGTTTGGGGACAGCTGTCACCAAGGGACGACGAGGCAGAACAGGCTGAGTTGCCTATGGATTCCACAGCCACTGAGAGGCGGTTGCCATGAGGGGAAAGTGGGCCCAATGTAAATATTTGGCTGCGCTCTTCTTCCCGAGTGATTGACACCTTGGGTATATTTGGTTCAACCACGGCTCTTTGGACTTTTGCCTTTGTATGTGCATGTGTGTGCATGAGTTTATATTTATAAAGGGGAAGCTCTGTTCTTCTGAGTTGATTTATCCTAGAAGGGGATTGTGGCTTTCCAACAGAGCCTGGCTAATAGACAGAAGTATATTACTTATAGAATCAAATTTTTAGAGTGCTTGCTGAATTTTCCAAAGAGGAACAGCTGCTGTTGGGGGTGTCTCGGAGGGAGCTATTCTCTTTCAGATATATACCCATCAGTCCGTCTTCTTGTTTTTAGTTTATTTTTCTCTAGGACAGGCATGCTTGTGTATCTCTGACATTTGAATATCGGATTGGCCACATATATGGGTTTCAAACATAGGATATAACTCTTGCCACAGCCGTGGTGCTGCTTTCTAATTGCTCCCCCCCCAACACACACATTGGAGCTTCTTCCTCAGGCTGTCATTTTGTTTAGTACAAGAGCCATAACCTTTTATGGTTCCTACCAGAATGTGCGATAGTCAATTGCAGAATACGTTTAATGTTTCTTAGGACAAATAGTATTCTTTGGGGACTGGCTGCTTTTTGCAATCTTTAGGACTATATTTTTCCTGTGTCAAACTGTACGTAGATCAATGAGCAAGAGATGCATCGAGTCTTACATTATTCAGTATGATTTAATGTGGGCGTCAAGGAATAATATTCCCGCCTGAGTTCCCACGATAGATGTTTTCTGTGGAGGAAGGTTACCCTTAGGGGTTTTAGCGGGGTTTTAGCTGACTGGCCAATTCTGATTGGTGTCAATCAAACCCAGATGAAAATGAGAGATTGTCTCTTTCATTCTCTGGACAGAGGTGGAAGGCTAGGATGTCCTCATAATAGGTCAGTCACATCTCTCATACTCTTCTTACTTTCATACCTCTCCAGACACTGACATGGGGATAAATTCGGTTTTCACCCTAATCACAATAAAACTTTTAAAGTGTTGTCCTGTCATTGTAAAGATGACTGTCAACCAGAGTTAGTTTGCTGGGTCATTTGATGTTGGAGTGAAGGCTGAGATATCTATGATTAGTGTCATATGGTAGTGTATAATGGTATGAAAACACATCTGACTTTCAAGATACTGTGAATTTTCTTCTAATTTTTTTCCTCCTTGTAACCTTGTTCAGCTGAAAACAAAAAAGACTCTCCTAATTTTTTTCAGTGAGATTTGTGACTGAGAGAGGCTTCGAATATGGACGATTTGATCCTAGTTTGCTCTGGCGGACTGAAAATAATCTGCATGGCAAACTTAAGGCCCAGGCTTCTTGGTAACTTAATGTATTGAATAAATGGAGCCATTTGATTAGGTTCAATGAATTCTGGTTAGAGAGAAAATTGGTCAGTTTAACAACCAGGTGAAGTGTGTTGCATTAATGTAGCATGTACAGGTAGTCCTTGACTTATGACTGGTTACTTAGCTTGCTTACCCCCCCCCCAAAAAGATACTTATGATCCATTTCTGAAGTTCCTATGCATCCACCCACCCCGCAGTCATGTGACATTTCACGTACTTGGCAACCGTCTGCAGTGTCTTGAACACATGTGTCTGCAATTTATGACTTTTTCTGGTCTTTACTTACAGTTTTCAGGAGAAACCACCCGTAGTGAACAATGGGTCTGCTTAAAGACTGCAGTATTCATTAAACAACTGCCACAAAAAAGATCATAAAATTGGGTTAGTCACGTAGGTGACCCGCTTCACCACCATCATGTCTTATGACCATAATAGGCAGGCTCCATTAGGGTTGGAAGTCAAGGACTGCCTGTTTTTAGAGAAAAGCAAAACTTATATATTGTCCCACTTGCATCAATGAGCCTGTGAGCTTATGCAAGTATCGAAACAAACGTCTAAGACCAGCACATGAAGATCCCAGGATAGACTAAATATGTATGAGATCATCTAATTCATCAGGGATGAATCTTGGATTAAACCGCCATCAACATGTCAGTTGCCTCGGGACAGAATCTGACTAGGGTGGGTTTTTAAAAATATCTTCACTCCTTTTTTTTTTTTTTTTTTTAAAAATCTTATTAGACAACTGCCTCGTTTCCTGCAAATACGTGATGGCTCCGCGTAACACGCCGATACCCGTATTTTCAAAGGATGGTGAAACGCTCCATTCTACCCTCTTGCCTTCAAGTGTGTTCTCCTATCTTCTCATCACCATAAATAAAGCATGAGGATGTCTGGCCTCTCCTTCCCCCTCATTCAGTGTTTTGGCAGAGTTTGTCTCTCTCCATGGTACCACCTGGAAATCACTCAACCACTCTGAAGTAGGGCCAGACAGCCAAAGGGGAGCATGCTGGGGGAAAGAGCTTGGCATCCCCCACTCTCCTGTTAGAGGGCTGCGTATTGCCTAAAATGGTCTCCCTGCGGCCCTCAGTGCTCTCCCCTCACAGAGCCACCTCTTCCGTGCACAGCATGTTCCAAAGTTTATGGGGACTGATTTATCGTGTATTGAGGCTGGATGGTTTGAAGGAGGGAGGTCAGATCTGAGGATAACTGTTAAGAACTCTGGGTGGGCCTGGGACACTCTGGGCAACAACGCCACTGGCTCTGTTCCCAGGCTGGAGTGTCGCTTCAAACTAGCGATGACAAGAAACTGCTAGCTGGTTTTGTCTTTTGAAAAGAAGGAGGAAACCTGGAGCAACAGCAGTCCTGATCTGAATCTAATTTAAGCTGTTCCCACCTGACTTCTAGAATGTGTATATGTGTTTGTGTGGGGGGGAGGCTTCACTAATTTGTCCAGATTTAAGAGCAACGTTCCCTGTGCAACGAACTAAGACAACCGCATACTGCATTTTAGACAGCAGCTGTTAGACATAAATGCACTGGCAGAGAGCAACGCTTTCCGGGACCTAAAGATTTAAAGCGACTCTCTCAAGTTGCTTGTCAGGTTAATTTAAAAAGTAGAATGTGCCTGGGCTAGAACATCTAAAATTACAAAGATTTAAATGTATAAAATAGAGAATAATATAAATCTTGTAGCATACATTCTAGATTTTCACTAGAATGAATGCTTGATTTTAAAAATGTATTTGGAAGGGTTTTTTAGTCGGCGTCCATCAGTAAGTATCAGATTAGCTGTGCAGTGTTCCCAAAGTACACAGTGGCAAATCAGTGCAAGAGACCTGGAATACGATTCGCTACGGTAAGGAAGTTGATTCCAAAAGAAAACGTAGCAGCTACATTTCTATTACATGTGCAGATAACGAATTGGCACGTCAGAAACAGCATGTAGATTTTAGTACAGTACGCTAAACCAAAGACCTCATACCAATAAAATCGACATTATCTCAAAATCAGATCATTAACGAAGAGCTACTAGTAATACTAATAATAGCAGATTCTACATTTCATTTCAACAATGCAATGTGGAATCAGAAGGATACTATGGGAAGAGTGAAGGCAAATGCTGTGTTTTTCCTACATTGTTGCAGCTATTTCTGTATCCTTCAGCTGGTGGAGAGATAAGAGGCTGCTTCTTCCTCTGGCCCACAGCCTTCCTGCCTTGTAACTGGGTCCTTCTGCTCCTTTCACTCAGGGTCAGACTGCAAGCGAAGCGCAGGAGATTTCCCCAGCAATCACGCTGCCTCCACCTCAGGGTGTAACAGCCCCAACACTTTGTCCCCATCCTTGATTGCTGAGGATGAGGTCTTCTTTGGCAGCATGGCAGAGGAGAGGGTGAGTACATTAATTGCGGTCTAGTAACTGAGAGGACAACCTAACTGTGTGTTTGGAGGAAGAAAGTAACCTAGATCTGTGCTGCTCTCTGATCGAAACTAGGTACTTAGGAAGGTGACCTAAGGATCCTTCCACTTATGTGTATTTGTGGAACTATTTTTATATGCAACAATGGGGCATCAGAGGCACAACCCCTTCAAGATGGTAATTCCAAAAAGCATTTAAATTCTCACTTCAGTCAGAACTATGTTTCTTCCACAAGCTGTAAAGATGTATTTTTTTTCTCCTTCATTGGTGAGTGAATTCCCACGCAGTGGAACAGTTTTTTGTATCCTATATGTAGCTGAAGCTGCAAGGGAGCATTTTCAGCAGTGGAAATTTTGTTTGTGAACTTCTTGATTTGAAACTGTCTCCAGACACTGGGTATGTCATTCTAAGGAAAGCTCCAGAATTCAATGGCAGAGTACATGGCTGGTGTACTGAAGGTCACTAATTCATTCAACTACAGGCTACAATCAAGGGATAGAACCAAGGGATAGAATCAAGATTACGTGAAGTGTTAGTACCATTTTGTAATGCCTTGGTGAGACCATACTTGGAATATTGCTCCAGTTTTGGTCACCACAACATAAAAACAGATGTTGAGACCCTAGAAATAGTGCAGAGAAGAGCAGCAAAGATGAGTAGGGGACTGGAGGCTAAAACATATGAAGAACAGTTGCAGGAATTGGATATGTCTAATTTAATGAAAAGGAGGAGGGGGGACATGATAGCAGTGTTCCAATATCTCAGGGGCTGCCACAAAGAAGAGGGAGTCAGGCTATTCTCCCAAAAACCTGAAGGCAGGACAAGAAACAATGGATGGAAACTAATCAAAGAGAGATCCAATCTAGAACTAAGGAGGAATTTCCTGACAGTTAGAACAATTAATCAGTGGAATGACTTGCCTCCAGAAGTTTTGGGTGCTCCAACACTGAAGATTTTAAAGAAGAGATTGGACAACCATTTGTCTGAAATGATATAGGGCCGTGGTGGCGAACCTATGGTACGTGTGCCACAGGTGGCACTCAGAGCCCTCTCTGTGGGCACGCGCGCTGTCACCCCAGTCCTAGGCCTTCAGCTGGGTTTTATAAAACCATTTCGCTTTAGGTCTCTACCACCGTGTGCCAAAAAAAAAAAAGATTCAATCAATCAATCAATTTCAACTTCTTGCGGGGAAAAAAAAAGATCTTGCAAAGTTGGAATTGATTGATTGAACTTTTTAGTCCCATCCAGTCTGCCGTTACCACTGCAGCCATGCCCACCCAATGGGCCACGCCCACCCAACGGGCCACGCCCACCCAACGGGCCACGCCCACCCAGCACCCGACGACACATAAGTGGGTTTTGAGTTGCAGTTTGGGCACTCGGTCTCTAAAAGGTTTGCCATCACTGATATAGGGTTTCCTGGCCGAGCAAGGGGTTGGACTAGAAGATCTCCAAGGTCCCTTCCAACTCTGTTATTCTGTTGCCAGCATCTTTCGTAGGAAAGTGAGTTGGATGAGACTGTGTGAAAAGATCTGTTCTAGATACGCTGACCTGGAGAATCAGAGAAGATAATGCCCAGACAACAAATGGACTGTGGATAATACACAACAAATGTCAGTTTAAAAAGAAGTCTCTAGTTAACACAGAGGCTTTTTTTTTTAATATGCAGAAGATTCAAACATTAATCCCAGATAACAGGGCTGAGTTTTAAAAGACATAGACCAAAAACCAGACGTTGTGTATGTGTGTTTTCTTTAAAGAAATTGACACAACCATCCTTGTATCCGTTTGTATCTTAGGTGATTTTATCTCAATTACTCAGTTTTTAGTCTGTTCAAATAGCTTCCTAAATAGGTCTGGAGAACCTCCATTTGGAGACATTTTCACAAGTGAGGCAAGAATATTATCTGAAATCCTCCAAGCCCAGAGAAGAAAAAGCCACATTTGCAGGGGTGTTTTTTGGTGTTTTGTTTTTTAATCTTATCTTTGATTTTCTGGTTGCAGGCAATATATTTGCCAACCATGATTTATCAGTTAAGGCAGAAATAGGTGGATTCACCCTTGCTGAATATTAACCACAGCCTATGAATCAAAACTATAGAGTCTGGTTTTACTAAGCCAAATGTGTACAATCACTTTATGGGTTAGCGCAGTGTTTCCCAAACTTGACCATTTTAAGGCATGTGGACTTCAACTCCCAGAATTCCACAGCCAGCATTGCTGGCTGTGGAATTCTGAGAGTTGAAGTCCACATGCCTTAAAATGGTCAAGTTTGGGAAACACTGGGTTAGCATGATGACTGAATTCAATCTATGGTCCACTAAGCTGTATTCAAATATGACCCAGATTGTGCTAGATATTACATAATAGGAAAAAAAATACCATCAGAAGAAAGAATTACCTCTTCTTTTATACAACTGCTGCTTATTATTACATTTTCTTTGTACAACTCATGGTAGTGTTTCTGCCCCCCATTTTCCCCAAACCACAGCCAGGGAAGTGGATTGGGCTGAGAGAGGGAGTGACTGGCCCAAAATTGCCCATCCAGCTCTCATGCCTAAAGTGGGACTAGAACTCACAGCCTCTGGGTGATTGGCCCAAAATCACCCAGCCAGCTTTTATGCCTAAGGGAGAACTAGAACTCACATTCTCCCAGTTTCTAGCCCAATACCTTAACTACTAAACTCTCTCTCTGCCTTTCTACTGTATGTCTCCATCCATGCCTTACCTCCCTTGACCTATTTAATTATTCCCTCCCTTCCTTTGGCAGGAAGATGCCTCTTCTCCAGAACAGGACACACTTCCATGTATTGTTGACAGCAGCACTGAAGATCTACTCTCTATAGACTCTGCTCTCCAGGGATCAGAGTATTATAAGGATCTGGGATTTCCTGCACCTACAGAGACGAATAGTAACATGCCCTTGCGGCTTGATTGGACATCACAGGAAACTCCTGGTTTTTGCTCATCAGCAAAAAATTCTACAGGTGGTGAGGAGATACTCACCAGTGCTCAGAGCTTGGATACACCTGCCTGTTTCGAGATGTCACATCACTATTTGGAGGAAGTCTGTCCTTGTCCGTGCAGTTCTGAGAACCAGGGGAGCTTTGTCAAAGGTGAGCAGGAACAGCCACTGCATGATGAGGAAGGCTTTCCAGTTTTGACCAGGTCTATGTCTACATCACGGCGGCACAGCTGGGAAGGTCTTCAGTCTGCAACAGATGCCCAGCGTAGGTGAGTCTGCCCTAGGAATGGGAAAGTTGAAAAGGTTGATATTGGAAGAGCTTGAATAAGGCTAAAATTCCACCATTTAAATTGCATCTTTCTTTGGACTTCTCTTGGCTTTTCTATATGCAATAATGAGATGTTATGCCTAACTTAAGCAACTTCAGCAAAAGAATGTGAGTGAACTACTTTAAAAAGATAACAGCCACAAATGTATTCATTTATATCCCCCTTTCATTTTTATAAACAGTTCAAGGTTGCAACCTATGGTACCTATTACTTCCTCTTCCTCCTATTTTCCCCACAACAACCACCCTGTGGAGGTGAGTTGTATTGAGAGAGAATGAGTGGCCCAAAGTCACCCAGCTGGCTTTCATGCCTAAGGCGGGACTAGAACTCACAGACTCCCAGTTTACAGCTTGATATCTTTAACCACTCAAACTGGCTACTACTGTAATTTAGGCAATTACTCAGGTATGAGGAATAGGATTTATATATGTTCATAAAATTTTCATATTGGCGACTTAGCTCTGCTCTAATGTGCAAGATCTTCTGGAGTTTCTTTGATTAAGCGAAGCTTATTTTTCTTCTGAGCTGCTCTTAAGTTGTTACTACTTTTTCAGGCAAAATAGACTTTCAAATAGCCAATTTAGGATCCATGAATTATAGGAAAATACTTTCAATAAATATGTATGTATGAATGTATGTAGTGTATGTATCCCTGCCAGCTGTATTATCAACTTTTTAGACTGGAATAAGGGCTTTCGTATTCCAACTATCCTTTTGAGGGCATAGTGATAAAGCAAGTTATTTTTGAAATTATCTTATTCTGTGTAATTCTTGATGCTCTCTGAGCTTGACTCTCTAAAGACTTGTCATTACTTAACTAGGTAACATCATTAATGCTAGTAAGTGTGCAGTTTGCTCCCTGTGTATACACTGTGTGGGTGTTTTCTCCTTTGTAGTTCTTTGAGTAGGATATTGTTTTCTGCTTGATTTTCTTTGATCTGATGTCAATCCCTGCTTATTTGGATATTGGCTGCTGGAGAGGCTGTTTTCTGTCTTTTTGTTTCCTTCTTAGCTTTTATATTGACCCCTTTGAATGGTGTTTAAATGTGGTTTATCTCTATTGATGACTGATTTGTCTGAGTGCCAAGCTTCCAGGAATTCCCTAGTATTTTTGGATTTGGCTTGATCTAGCATGCTAATAGTTTCCCAATGTTGAATCTGTCCATGTGTTATGAGATTAAGGAGTTTTCATTGTGTCTTTTGACTGTTAATTGGTGTTCATGGATAAGCTCTGTTAGTCTTTTGCCTATTTAGCCTACATAATGGCTGTTACATTCTTCACACTGGATGTTGTAGATGACTCCTGTTTTTTTTTTGTGTGCTATGATCATACCGTGTGGTTGTAATAATCTGTTGGTTGTTTTTGAGATATTGTTGATATGCAGTAGTATTATCCGTTTCATAGCCTATGTTGGATGTGCTGTAGTGGGTTGAGTGCTCAATACTAGGCTCAATTTATATATACTGAAATAAAATCCCAAGAAGATCTTATGGAGCCCATAGTCTTAAATCACCACAAGATCTTGTTCATTTTAATGAATGGCAAGTTTCTGCAACCTACTTTCCAAATGTACTTTCATGATCTTGTTCCTGCTGGGAGCTGCTGGATTATGTTAAGTATGATATTATATTGCTTGAATGATATGGTCTTACATCACTCATACATCACTCATTGCTGAGCAGAGATCTGGATTTAGTTGCTTGTCTGGAGTGAATAACCTGCAAATATTGGTTCTGAATACAAGAAACATGGAAAACAGGGTTTAAACTCCCTTAGTCATGTAGCTCATTGGGTAATAATTGTGTCAGTCACTCCACCTCTTCTGGTAATTTAATCCAAGAATATACAAAGAATAAAATATAATAAAAGATAGTTTTTTTTCTTCCTAGCATTTCCCCCTAAGTCAGGGGTAGGCAACCTTGGCTCGTTTATGACTCATGGACTTCAACTCCCAGAATTCTTGAGCTAGCTGGCTCAGGAATTCTGGGAGTTGAAATCCATGAATCATAAAAAAGCCAAGATTGCCTACCCCTGCCCTAAGTGCAGGGTTCACTTTTTTTCTTGGATCAAGAAAAAGTGTAGATCCAGTAAAGAGTGTTGTATCCAAACAAAAGATACAAATGTTATATAGTTATCTAACTATTGTTGTGCTGAAATAACAGTACTGTGGACAGGCTTTGTATCACTTCAATAACAGCTAGGAAGATGCCGTAAGTTGTTAGGAAAGAAATGAACACTGTGGGTTTACTTTAATAAACACACAGAATTTGCAGAAGATTCTCCTTTTAGAGCTCATATTCCAAAAGACTTTACCTTTTGATTTACCTATCTTATGAAGTTAATTTGTAAAACGCTTGGCTTCATTTGTACCGATTCGAGTTTTGCAAAACTTAATTCTGATTTTCTAAATACCCGAATTCTTGCTGGTATCCACTACTGAAGTGTCTCTAACAGGTATTTGCAACATGCCTTTCAAAAGGAAAAGGGGGCTGCCTTAAAAAAAATCAGAATTGCTATCGCTGCTTATAAAGAGGAAAAGCTGTCAGGTGATGAATGAGAATATTATTTGTTGAATTGTGTGTGTGTGTGTGCAACTCACACCGGGCATTCCTTTTTAAGGACTCGGATGTAAAAATCTCATGAGTAGATGCCTCCCTATTTCTCTGCCAACTCTGAACAAGCAATATTGATTTTAGAGCACAGCCAGAAGAGGGGCTATTTTAAACTCTCTCCTCCTTATAAGGTGCCTGAGGAATTATCTCCTCTTGGGATCTTGGCAAAGCTTTCTGTCATAGGCACTGGACTTCTGTCGCTAAGCAGACTTTATGCCAGGTATAAAAGAAGGGGTTTTGGGGGAGGGAAGGCTAAACAGGTCTGGGAGTTGTACCTCCCCGCTAAATCTCACAATGGATCATCAGAGATTCAGAGATCGCTTTTGTGATCCAGGCTAGCAGAAACAATCCTCTTGTTAATCTATCTAGCTATTATGTTCCATTCTGAGTGCTGAGACTAATCTTCAAGAGCCACTTGTGTTCTGTGACTTCCTTTCTCTTGAACATCTCCATCAACTTTCAAAAGATGTTCTTTAACAAAAAAAAAAGAATAGCGTGATCTTATGTTACTTGTTAGGAGAACGTGCCAAACACATCAATTCTCAACTAGTGTCCCTAACAGCCCCTGAGTTATTCTTGTGTAAATGCTATAAAAGCAGTGTAAATAAATTTGACAGGGAACCTGGCATCTTTACTCAGCTTAAGCAATGCAAACAAAGAAGTCTATAGTTAAATACTAATTCTGCATGCAATAATTTTGCTTGAAACTTTAAAGGGTTTTATTTGCAAAAAAGAAGGATCGATCAGCTAAGAAAGAAAATCCCAAAGGTGCTTTTCAAAAGGCAACTAGACTTTCTTGTTTTTTTTCCCTTGAAAATATTTCGCTTCTCATCCATGAAGCTTCTTTAATTCCTCAGTTGCCTTTTGAAAAACATCTTTGGGACAACCATGACCTGGATGATTAAGAATCTCCATAGACCAGTGGTAGGCAACCTTGGCTCTTTTATGACTTGTGGACTTCAACTCCCAGAATTCCTGAGCCAGCATGGCTGGCTCAGGAATTCTGGGAGTTGAAGTCCACGAGTCATAAAACAGCCAAGGTTGCCTACCCCTGCCATAGACATTAAGGATGAATACATTAATACATATGTTAAGCAAGTGATGACGAACCTTTTAGAGACCGAGTGCCCAAACTGCAACCCAAAACCCACTTATTTATTGCCGGGTGCCAGGTGGGCGTGGCCCACTGAATGGGCGTGGCTGTGGTGGTCACGGAAGACTGGGTGAGTGTGGCCAAGGTGGGCGTGGTCACCTCAATGTTGCTTGTGGGGAGAGACGCCTGTGGGGGTCGGGCAGGGTTGGGGGAGATCCAGGGCGTCTCTGGCAGGTGGGATGGTGGGTAGGAGGCTTGTCCTGTGGGGTGAGGTGAGGCAGGGTGGGGGTGCCATTATCTCAGGGCAAGGCAAGGCAGGGGCTGGGGCAGCTGCTGCCTGACACCGTCGGCCCCCGCACATAGAGTCTAGCGAGTGCATGGGGACCGACAGTGTCCATCAGCAGCCACAGCCTGCCGGCCCCTCAACCGGCACACTCTGGGGTTCTGCAGCCCGCCACTAGCAGTTCAGAGAAGTGCCCACAGAGAGGGCTCCGAGTGCCGCCTCTGGCACGCGTGCCATAGGTTCGCCACCACTGTGTTAAGCCATATTGGGGAGGCAAATGCATTAAATATCAGGATTGTAAACAAAAATATAATAAACCCAAAACTAGCTTTCTGTCCCTTAATTCACAGCATGCTTGCTTAGCTTAACTTTCCCACCCACCAGAATTCTCAGGCAGTACCCATGAGGACTAAAAGATTTCTTCTCTTTTCTTTTTGTAGGTAATGAATTTTCAAAGTTGCTCAGGATATTATTATAAGAATAATATATTACTATAATAATTGAAGAAATGCAGCAGAAAAAAACCAATTGCGCTTAATCAAATCATAGCAACGGAGAATTTACTTTCCCTACTCGTTTTAAAAAAAGAGTTCCTGAAATGCTCAATTCTGCATTTTAAGGGATCAGTATAACAAAAAATATATGAGAAAACCCTTTAAAAGTGTCTTATGTCTGGTAAAGTTAAGACTGTTGTGTCCTTGAAATGTTTCTTCTGCTGTGATCCAATTTTATTCCCCATCAGGTTCAGCCTGGATGCATCAGAGCTAGGGAGTGACACAGAAAGGGAGGAAGAAAAGGAGAAGAGTCTCCCTGATTTCTCCCCACCTCTGTCTTGGTCAGGACTAGAAACTTGGCATGGTAGCGGTGTGATCAAAGTGAAGGCTGAGCCTTTGTGTCAAAACGTGGGCCTTGTGGAAAAGCCTGGGAATGTGGTGAGTTTGGCTGTTTTGTTGGCTGCCCTGCATTATGGAGTGAATGTGGCACCCACCTAACTTGACGGTGACAGCATGGCCAGATTAGTGGTTTGCTTCAGTCAGCTGCTTCAAGCGCCTCCCCGTCCTCTTAAAAAAAAAAACCCAGAAAGCTAGTTAAGCCCATGACCTGAGGCTTTACCAAACTATATTTATGTGTATGAGGTATAACTCAGACCTGGTAACATAGCCATTAAAAGAAGATACTAAAACTTAATGCAAAAAGTCCCAGATATAACCTTCTGCATCTCCAAATAAGGATTAGTTAGCAAGTAACAAAGGTGCCTGTCTGATATGTAAAAGTGCTGTCAGTGGAAAAGGCAATCCAGGCTAAGGAGACCGACGGCCTAATCTGTGAAATAGTTAGTAATTTATTTTTCAATTGGGACCTCATTTGCTCCCAGCATTAGGAAGTTGTAGGGTGATACAAAATAAAAAAAAACAACTAACCCTGCCCCCTCCGCAACAACACAATATTATAAACCAGGGGTAGGCAACCTTGGCTCTTTTATGACTCGTGGACTTCAACTCTCAGAATTCCTGAGCCAGCCATGCTGGCTCAGGAATTCTGAGAGTTGTCGTCCACGAGTCATAAAAGAGCCAAGGTTGCCTACCCCTGTTATAAACCAATCCAATCAGACCTCAGTATTTTTAACATAAAAGCAACCAGTCAACAATGATGTATTTAAAACAATACCCTGAAACAGAACCAAGTATATATAATTTAAAGCTATTGTTAATCTGGAAGTGTCCACTAAATTTGAATGAAGTGGGACAATCAACTCCTCTGTTAAGTAAAAAGGTATGTAAACTTCTTTTAAAGGTCATCACATTTTCACAACTACGAAAAGAGCTGATTTCAGAGTTGTGGGATCAGGTCCCTCAAGGTGTGGAACCTGAAAATGAAAACCAAAGGCAGGGATGTCCTGCTCTAGTGCCTGTAGGCTGTGGGGGGTCTGGATGGGAAAAACCGGCTTCAATTGAACCTAGCATGGCTTTGGGTGTTGGGGGTCTTCTAAAATCTGGGATTTCATCATATTTGGTACTGGATGGGGCCCCAAATGGATCCTGTATACAATCTGGAGGTCCTTCTGGACTTATAATTCAAGAAGCAGGTGGCAATCAGGGCCAATTTTGCCTTGTAGATCAGCTGTGCCTGATCATGAGGCTCTGCTCACAGTTATCTCCTCCTTCAGAGTCTCCCTAGAATCGATGCTATAAGTCAGGGGTCTTCAAACGTGACCCTTTTATGACTTGTGGACTTCAACTCCCAGAATTCCTCAGTCAGGCACGCTGGCTGAGGAATTCTGGGAGTTGAAGTCCACAAGTCATAAAAGGGTCACGTTTGAAGACCCCTGGTATAAGTGCACATCAAGCGAACACTTGCATAGAATCAATAAATGGATGAAAGGTCAGCTGGTCTTCAAAGGTGGCAGTGGAGGGAAATCTGGAAGCCCGGAAGATAATTTCAGAGAAAGGATTGGAGGATTTAAAATTGTAAAATAGGTCTGTTAAACTTTGCAGAGGTTTAACACACCTATTTTTCACCGTTTTTAGGCAACAAACTGGAAACTGTGTTGCCAAAAAAAATAATAATGATGGTTTGCTGCTAAAGCTGAGGTGTGTTCTAATAGCTGCCAAATGGGGGCTGCCTCCTCTTGTGCTAAAAGGAGGAAGTGGAACAGAGTGTCCCAGGGTTTAATGAAGACATTAGCGTTACATCATCTTAAGCCAGTGGTTCTCCACCTGTGGGTCGCCAAGCCATGCTGTCCACCATTTTTTTCCCTTTTCCCTAGCTGTCCTACTCCCTCTTATTGGTGGCCACACCCACTTGGGGGTCACCACAACATGGGGAACTGTATTATGGGGTCACGGCATTAGAAAGGTTGAGAATCACTGTCTTAAGCAAAGAAGGGGCCAGGGGCTGACTGTGGTGGAGATCATGAACTATTCATGTTCACATTCCAAGTTAAACTAAAGAAGAAAGCCAGCCAGTTTCCACAATATGAGCCTGACCATATCTTGACCCACCATTTTCAAGGAGAACATCACAAATCACTTTGAAACCCTGAAACCCATTGATCAAGAAACAGTGGGATTGGATTAAGAAAGTTGCTATGAGAAGAGACTGCCAAAGACCAAGGAAAAGAAGAAAACAAACTGGGGTGTTAGAACAGAGGGTGAAAATTACTAAAGAGGACTAAGCCAGAGCAAAGAAAGACAAAAAGCTCAGGAAGGAGTTTGACCAAAAATATTAAGAGAGCTGTTAGAAGAGGCAAAAAAGCAGTATGACAACATGTGTAAAGACATGACTTCAAAAAGGTCTCTGAACTTAGAAGATTTCAACCTGAAATTTGTATGTTAAAAGACACCAGTGGACAGATTCCAAGAAGAGAAAACAAAGACAGAAGGAATATACTGAAATCCTGTCCAGTGGAAATGTCAATTTTGTAAGGTATCTTAGAAAACATTCCTTATTTATAAGAAGCTCTAGCACAGGGGTCTTCAAACTTGGCCCTTTTATGACTTGTGGACTTCAACTCCCAGAATTCCTTAGCCAGGCACGCTGGCTGAGGAATCCTGTGAGTTGAAGTCCACAAGTCATAAAAGGGCCAAGTTTGAAGACCCCCGCTCTAGCATTATAAGATGAAGTTAGATCAGCACTCTGGTCATTGCCAAATTAGAAAGCTACAGGAATTGCAGAGCAGCTGCAGAAATATAGCAAGAAACAGAAGGTGAATCCATAAAGATTCTAACTAAACTCCAAACAAATTTGCAGAATGGCACAGTGGAAGAAGTCAATCTACATATCAATATTAAAGAAAGGAGAGTTAAGAGAGTGTGCAAACTCTCCTACCATTTCACTTGCTAGCAAAATAATGCTTAGGATAATCCAGTGCAGATTGGAACCCTACATCATGGAAACGGGGACACCATATATCCAAGTTGGCTTTAGAAAAGGTTGACATTATTGTTAATGCACCTGGTTAATTGAGAAAAATCGAAGAATACCAAAAATTCATTCCAGTAGGCTCCTAATACCAATTGCAGGGGAACATGAGCAAAAAAAAAAAAAAGTACAGTATTTCTTTAGGTTCTCTCTGTGGGCTTCCCATTTAGATAGTTCCATGGTGGGAACAGGGTGATGGGCTGAATAGGTTTAGCCACACTGTTACTATGTTCTTAATGAAAACTTGTTCAAGGTTAAAGAGAGCAGGGCTAATGGGTTGCTCTCTCTCTTTTAGGATAGTGACAACAGTGGGAAGCGGCTGAGGTCCACTTCAGTCTCATGTTCCTGTGGCAATGTCCCCTCTCAACATGTATCCCAAAGCCTGGATGTCCCACTTCCAATCTCACTGGGTTAGTAGCCCTCTTTGGTTGCTAGTTAACAGGTTTTTTGGAAAAGAGAGATGCTATCAGATGCAAATACATATGATGGGAATATAACACTTTCCAAAGGAAGGGACATCATTTAACCCAGAGCTGTCAATCTTAGGACAGGATAGATGGACTTCTAGAAATGATTAAGCTAATAATTGAAGGGAAGAAGCAAATAATTGGAGGGAAGAAGCAAATTTAAAATTTGAACACTTTCCATGCTTTGTATAAGATATGTAAATTCTTCAGCTATAAAGCTAGGCAAGTTTTAAATTCTTTTATTTTCTAAAAAAAAAAAAAAAACAGTCAATATGTTCCTGAGATGTTAAGTATAGTTTTATGTCTGTCTATTTATAAGAGTTCATATCTCACTGTTATCACTGCACAAAAATATTAGAAAAAATATATTTTAAAGAATGAAATTAAAATATAAAATGTTCCTACAAATAGGTAAGGTAGCAGTCACTTCTATTTCATTTCTAACTTATTCAAAAATATTTGTACACTACATTTGAGGGGGCTTGCAACGAAGAGAGGAAATGTTTTTGTCTGCTTCTGTCTTTGAACAATGGGACAAATGTGCCAATTTGTTTGCTTCCAGCTTCTTCTGGAGAGTAGTTAAGTTCATATGAAGCTCTGGTAGGGTTTGGCTTTAGTTTAGTGTGATATTTGAACCTAGAGATTATAATTTAATATTAGGTATATGAACCAGGGCCCTGTGGATTATTCAAAAAAATATTTAAAAATTCCTGGTACAAACTCTGTGGGAAATTGGATAGAGAACTGAAGAATGATTATAAGGCTCTTTCATATCCCAATCTTTTTAAAATTGCATTTTAGGGATTGTGCCACCTGTGTTGGATATGATTCAAAAGGACCATGTAGCCCCAGAACAAGTGTAAGTGCCTGAATGGAAACAGCATTCTTCTTCCCCTTGAGAACTTAGCTCTTCTATCTGTAATATAAAGAAACCCTGCTCATTGTTCTAGCCTTTTATCCTGTTTGGGGATATAGTGTTTATTTGATAATTTTCTACTTGTTGAATCTTGGTTATTTTTTTTAAACTATTTTTATTCATAATACAATTAAAACAACAATGGACAAACATGACATTCCAGAATGAATTTTCCTATCAGTTCCTATCATGGTACAAAAGCTTAATACATCGTTCTTAACCTCTATATAAGCCTCATCTTCTATACAATACAATTATATATACAATTATATGTACAGTATATATATATCTTTTAATTCTACCATTAACTTGAAATCCGAGCAGTTCTCCTTAATTCATACCAATGGTAAAATTTGCCCCAGATTTCAAAGTATTCGTGTTCTGTCTTGTCTTTCATAATCATTGTAAGCCTGTCCATCTCAGCACATGATAAAATTTTATGCAGGATCTCTTTTTCTGTTGGAGTTCCCTTATTCCTCCAGTTTTGAGCAAAAACCAGTCTGGAAGCCGTTAAAATGTGTAGCATTAAATAAAGTATGCCTTTGTCATGCTTTTGTGTAGTTAAACCTAATAGAAAGAGTTCTGGTTTTGGTTCTACCACTTGCTCTAATATTTCTTCCAACCATACTTTAATCCTGTTCCAAAAATCACAAGCTCGCGTGCATTCCCACCACATATGATAGTAAGTTCCACTTGTCAAATTACATTTCCAACATTTAGGGGAGACATTGGTACACATTTTAGCCAATCTTGTGGGTGGGAGATGCCATCTATAAAACATTTTGTAAAGGTTCTCTTTGTAAGAGGTGGCCAAAGTAAGCTTCTTGTTTCTTGCCCATAGTTCTTGCCAGATGTGCAGAATCTTGGGTATTTTTACATGTTTTATGGACTGACACCCTTTGGGAGGAAAGCATTTTGGTAGAAATTAAAAAATAGATGAAAAATATTCTTAGTTGTTTTTTCAAATTTTGGAGCACTAGCAGGAAGATAGCATTTGGAAAATGGGAACACTTTAGTAGCATTGATTCCTGCTTGAAGTAGCCCTTTAGCAAAGAGGTAGGGAATTGCTTCTAAAATTATATCTGATTTAATTACATTTTCTAACAGGTTAATGGTTCAGGAGGTGCTGAAGGAGCTAGCACAGTATCATAGGTAAGTGTTGAGTATCATCATCCCAAAGTGACATCTATTATCCCATTATATAATTATTGCCTTGTAAGTCCAGAATGGCTCCTGCAGGTGATGGAATTCTCCCGGAAAAATATAGGAAGATATTTATATTATCTTAATAGAGAGGGGTTAGCAAAAATAAGCTATTCTGGAATTTTTTTTAACAAACCCTATTTGGCTATGTATCTTTCCTATGTTCCAAGCACGAGACTGGAAGAAAGGTATTTGAAAGTCTGTAGACTCCAGGCAGTATAGTATATAACATTTACCAATTCTTCCTTTCAAAAATGCTGTTTATATTAATTACTCATATTTAGGAACTCCCATCTCCCTCACAGGGACTCTGGGAGATATACAAATAAAATATTAAAAGCATAAAAATAGTATATAAAATTTAAAAGAGGCAAGGAATGTTAAAAAAATTAATTATAAGGTGGGGGGAGGATTTTCAGGAAGTTAAATTGCCCCATGACTGTGTGCTCCTCTCTGTGCCCCAAAAAACCCTACAGAGCCATGTTTTCACACCTTTCTGGAAGGCCAGGAAAATGGGGGCTGCCTCCCTTCTGAGGAGAGTGTTCCACAGAGCAGGGGCAATAGCAGAAAAGGCTCTCTTTCTGGACCCCACCAGTCAGAATTAATGTCCTTGTATCACAACATTAAGTGACATAAGAATAGAAAAATAGTGGCAGCTCCTATGTTATAGGATATTCTCACTGTAATTTAGATCAGCAATTTGCTGAACCAGTATTTTCCTTAACTTTTTGAGCTACCTTTATTGTAATGCCTTTTTTCTTAAACTGTGTTTCCTTGCCAGTGCTAAACAGGTATTGTACTCACCTGAAGGTAAACATGAAACCCAGCAAAACCTGACCTGGTTTGAATTCCTGTCTAATGAGTAAGTTCCCTCTGCATCTATGTGCATAATGTTACATTTTTGTCCCCAACTCTGCTGTGATTCAACAGGAATAAAGTGCAGTGTTGAATATACCGGTAGTCCTTGACTTACAACCGTCACTGAGCCTGGAATTATGATCATAAGCCATTGTGGTCATTTTTGGATAGTTTTTGTGGTGATTATTAAGCCAACAATGCCGTCGTTAAGTGAATCCATTTTCCTTAATGGTTATTTTTTTTCTGAAAATCGGAAGTAAATGTCAGAAACCAACAAAAAATATTGTAAATCATGGTCACATGATCACAGGACAGTGCAAATAGTCATAAAGATGAACTGGTTGTCAAGTGCCCCAAATGCAATTGTGAGGGGAGGGGTTGCAGCCATCATCGAGGGGGGACACGATAGCAGTGTTCCAATATCTGAGGGGCTGCCACAAAGAAGAGGGAGTCAAACTATTTTCCAAAGCGCCTGAAGGCAGGACAAGAAGCAATGGAGGAAAACTAATCAAGGAGAGAAGCAACCTAGAACTAAGGAGAAACTTCCTGACAGTTAGAACAATTAACCAGTGGAACAACCTGCCTCCAGAAGGGGTGAATGCTCCAACACTGGAAGTTTTAAAGAAGAGACTGGACAGCCATTTGTCCAAAATGGTATAGGGTTTCCTGCCTGAGCAGGAGGTTGGACTAGATGACCTCCAAGGTCCCTTCCAACTTTACTACTACTACTACTACTACTACTACTATTATGATTATGATTTCAAAAATGGGTTGTAAGTAGCTCTGGGGGAGGTCTGTTGCAACTTCAAATGATAGTTAAGCAGCCAGTCAGAAACCGAGGACTACTTGTACAATGATGGCGCTCATGGCGATATGGGATCCATTCTGTATCTTTGCATTTGCTGGCTAAGAGGATTTGGAGCCAGTTTTGTATAGTGCAGTGGTTCTCAAACTTTCTAATGCCGTGACCCCATAATACAGTTCCCCATGTTGTGGTGACCCCCAAATGGGTGTGGCCACCAATAAGAGGGAGTAGGACAGCTAGGGAAAAGGGAAAAAAATGGCGGACAGCGTGGTTTGGCGACCCCCGTGAAATGGTCATTTGACCCCAAATGGGGTCCCGACCCACAGGTTGAGAACCACTGGTATAGTGGTTAAAGTGCTGAAATAGAACTCAGGAGACCAGTCACTCTATGTCTCAACCCAGCTCACCTCACAGGCTTGTTGTGAGGCAGGAGGAAGGAGTATCCCACATGCTCGTCATCCTGAGTTAATTATAAAGACAATAAAGGTGGGATCTGTCAGGCTGCAGCTCTGCTGGTTGCCCACTTTATAGTTTTGGCACCAAGTAAAAGGCTTACTTTCTAAAGCCTTTTTAGGTGTTTTAGTTTTAGACTGGATGAGATATTTAGCTCTCCTTATTTATTAATTTGGTTTTCTCTGCCTGTCATTTCCATTGGTTAAAATATAGCATATTTATATTCTGTTAACTATTTTGGAAGCTTCTGGAATTGAAGACATAGAAGTTAAATGATCTAAAACAGATTTCCTATAGCTAAATTTATTTATTTCCTTCTTCTCCCCCTTCCCTACCTCAGATATGAGGAGAGTCCAAAGAATGACAAAACTGAAAAGGTGGCTAAGGTGAAGCGGCGGCTGAGCAATCTGCGCAACCGTGTCACTGGCTCATGGCAGAAGGAGAAGGTGAGAGGGCTGTATACAAGCCACTTGACTCAATGAAACATATGGTTTTATATTGGAAGTTTATAATCAAGGTATCATGAGAAAGAAGAATGGAGCAGGAATTATGCCTCAACAGCAGAGCAGGCATTTTCTTTACAGAATGTCCAATTCAATCCCCTAACTTGTATTAGTATTAGAACAATCAAGTAAAATAGAAAGATCTCTCTGGTCTGGCCCTAGAGGGAAAAATACAAATATTCTAAAAGAAGCAAAATAGTATTCCAAGAACTGAGTTGGAAAGGAATAAGTGAATGGCCGTTTGAGGGCATTTAGTTGTAAAAAATCTTGACATTATGGCATTTTCTATTTTCTTAGGGTAAGAATAAAGATCGGGAGAAAGAGGCTATGGAGGCAAAGGAACGAACACAGGCACTGCATGGGCATGAACTAGCACTAGGCGCCTTCTCTAATGGCACCTGTTGTTCTCTCTGTGGCAAAATCCTGCTGAACAAAACAGGGCTACAGTGCCTGAGTGAGTAGCTCCTTCCTGGGTCACAGTGTGAGTCTGTCTGTCTTCTGGCCAGCTTGGTTTTACATTCTCTACTATGAGAGTTTATGAGTTCTGCTTTCTTCCTCCTCCACTGCATTATCTCAGAGGTCATCCCATCTCTGTACACGTAGTCCTCAACTTACTACCGTAATTGAGCCCAAAATTTGTTATTGAGATGTTTGATGGAGTTTTGCCCCATTTTACAACCTTGCTGGCCACAACTGTTAAGTAATCGCTGTGGTTGATAAGTTAGTAATCTGGTTGTTAAGTGAATCTGGCTTCCCAATTGATTTTGCTTGTCAGAAGGTCACAAAAGGGGTTCATATGACCTTGGGACATAAGTATAAACCAGTTGCTAAGCATTTGAATTTTGATCAGATGATCATGAGGATGCTTCAAAGGTCATAACTGTGAAAAATGGCCGTAAGTCACTTTTTTGTGTCACTGTAATTTTGAATGGTCACTAAATGAGTTGTTGTAAATTGAGGACTACCTGTACTTAAGGTAGCCACTTCCTATTCTGACATTGCTCTGCACTGAAAGTGTTTTTAGTATTTAGTTCAAAGTTTTTGGTTATGTGCATGC